ATACAATAATAGTAGCGGAGGTCGTCTAAATCGGTAAATGACTCTTTGCCATTTCTCATACATAATTCACAATCACGCACAATACAAAAAAAGTATAGAGTGTGCTATCTTTTTGGAATGACGTGCCACGCACGTCGAGAATTTCTTGTCCCAAAATTGCAATATTTGCTCAGTTCTAAGTATACGTAAATATAACCCAGGCAAAATAACGAATGATAAATTTATTACCTCTCAATAATTTCTATCCAGTGATATATCATAACGACGAGTTTCAAAAAGAAAGCGACGAATTGTTGTGTACGGTTTTGGTCGCTCGTTATGGTCCGCAATCAGTTGCCGGCGCAAGTGGTTAAATTGACAAAGCAGCGAGAAGTGAAAAAAAAAAAAAAAAATATGCACGAAAATTGAAGCAAGGGATGGTCGTCAGTAGGGAAAAATCGGTTGCAGCGAAAGTTGCCGTCGTCCAACTGGATGTGTCTGTCGGACTGTAGTAGGACTTAGGATCCACGATCCGGCGTATTCCGTTCCTCGGTCTATAGAAGATTCTGTCGACGGTGTTCGTATAACGGTACCCGTCGGGTTCTCGCACGTCGTCTCGTCTCGTCTCGTCCCGTCCCGTCCCGTCCCGTCCCGTCCCGTCCCGTGTCGTGTCGTGTCGTGTCGTGTCGTGTCGTGTCGCGTCGCGTCGCGTCGCGACGCATACCTGCTGCCGGGCGTTGAATCGAGCCGGAGCCTCGCCGTGTCGAGCCCAGAAACGTGTATATGTTACGCGTCGTGTGTTACGTCGACGCATGTTGCCGGCGTTACGTGCGCCGGGATGCGCGTACACATACATGTACGAACGCATTTTGCCGCGGCGAGACGAGCTGAATGCCAATCGGCACGCGAACCATCGCGCTTGGATCCGCAGGAGGAACGAAAGAGAGGGACAGAGAGAGAGAGAGAGAGAGAGAGAGAGAGAGAGAGAGAGAGAGAGAGAGAGAGAGAGAGAGAGAGAGCGGAGTGAAAGCGGGAGGGGAACAGAGATAAAAAGAGGCTCGCGATGTTGTGCACGTTTTGTTGCGAATATTTCGACTCGGTTCGAGCACCAACCGAGTGTGTGTTATCATTTGTCGTTGTTGTCGTTTTCATCGACGGTAGTCTTTGAATGAAAAACGAATTTTCTTCTTTTTTTTTTTTTTTTTGTTAATAATTATTTCAACGGTAAATTTATTACCAATAGATAGCGTAGTAAAACGATGAAATGAAATCGGTTGCGTTTGGAGAGCATTCTTCGTGGTCCTGCTCCTCTCGCACGGTGGAATCGGCGCGCATGCCCGAAAGAATTCTCCGCGGACCGAAAACTCCGATCCGCGTGGCTTATAATGAGACCATTCATGCCTCGAAGCGCGTGATGTGTTCGTTTGCAAGGAACTCGCCGCGGATGCTGCAGAGCGAGGGATCATTTACGATCGTCACGGTGTAGGGAAGGAGCAAAAGTCTCTCTCTCTCTCTCTCTCTCTCGGGTGAAAGAAAGAACACGCCCGCTTCGCAGCATTTTTTCCCTGCTCGATTTTCCAGTTCCTCGCGGGGAACGGAACATCCCGATGCAATTTCAAGCAGTCGCGAACGCCATAACGGGTGTATACTTTGTTTCGCGTGTTATCCGAGTGTTGGCCGATTGAAACGACGCGTTCGAGTGTCTCGATAGATCGAGCCAGCATGTATCGGAAAGATAATGTATTTGAAGCGGGGATCGCGCTCACCTCGATTTCAAATCATGTTGTACGCAACGCGTTTCTATTCGTCGAGGGGAGTGCACGGTGGAAGTAGCAGTTTCATTCGAGCATGATAAAAGTACCGGTACAATATCCGTTTAGATAGCGATCGAAGTAAATCGCCGGTCTTAATTGTACGACGATTAAAACCGCATAGCCGTATGATCGATCAAGGTTTCGAGAAAACGGCCAACGATTGACATTTAATACAGTTACTCGAAATCCAAAGAATTCCCGCGGTTCTCGATAGTCGAAACTCTCGAGAGAAGGTACAAACGTTAGGATAAATTGAAGAATTATTTGCAACGTGAATGAGGGGAACGTTTGATTCGTGCGTAGCTCGAGTATTCGGTGCGAGAAGCTTCACGAACGCTCGGTGATCGGCTTTTGTTCTTAACGGTGTAAGCGCGATCGATCGATAATTCTGAAACGACGCGAAATATCCAAATCTAAAGAATCCATTGAAAAAAATATCGTTTTTCTTTTGTTGCACGTTTGAGTTTAATTTCGCGTCAACTGATAGATTATCAGCGACAACTTGATGCGAAGTTATCAATGAGAAAGAAATCACTGTCGTAGTGGGTGGTAAACTAATTTGAATTCAAGATAATTAACGGGAGTTTTTTCCTCGTCTAAGTGATGGTTCCAATTTAACAAATGGTTACTTATTACGGAAACTGTTGTGCTTCGTGCAGTGTAGGATTAAATGTTCTATTGAAATTTGCAACGTCGCACCTTCTACGAGGATCTAGATCCTTTGAGAAAACGTAAGAGTGACCAATTCTAATCCTTCAGACGATCACTTGGCCAATTATCGATGGAATGGCGGTTTCTGAACTTTGTACGGTTCTCGTTTTCACCAGTATTTTCAACGCACGGAGAAGCCTTCTGTTTCTGTTCTCCTTCTCGTTGTGACGGTAATCTTCTTCCGCTTCGTTAATTAAATCATCCGTGTATAATCTGCCGTTTTCGATCGCAGTTTCTAGATTTAAAGCATCTCATTATACGATTTGAAAATATCTCATTACACTATCGTCAGCGGTATTATATAGTCGGTGAAAAGAAAAAGTACATTAAAATTTATACAATAGCGTTGATCCCAGTTCCCGAAACAAGAAATTCCTCAAGCAGGGTAAAATCAACGCTTTTCAAGTTGCGAATGTTTCGAGAATTGAAAAAAAAAATCAGTTTCCAACTCCGCCTCGATACCATACGATTCAACGATGCTGCACAACTGCTCCACTTGTCAAATGACCGCTCTCGTGACACTATCGAATTATCGAATCTATCCAACTGATTAGCTTTCAGATCTCTATCCCGTCGTAATCACCTACGTTACACGAGTGCTTCTGATAAAATTAAATCCATTGCAGTGGTGGAAACACGATCGTACACGTACCTGTTTGTTTTGATCCTGGTGGTTTAATCGCGGTCGTGGAATTTCTAATTAATAATTAACGGCAGTGTTAAAAATTCCAATTAGTTTTCGAGTGTACGATCCGGCCGCTCTCGGAAACCGCGCGAGGATCCAGTTCTCCGCGAAAACGAGCGTTTATCGATACCCGTTGAGGACGGGTCGGGCGTAATCTTAATTAATTTCAACTTATTTCACCGACGCGGGGAAAGAGCCGCTCGTTACGGCGGATGTTACGTAACCGGCGCGGCAGTGGAATCCAAACTCGAATTTACGCGGAAATCGGCGCGGTTCTTGCGGTCTGAAAAATACCGCAAAGGACGATATCGGTGATTACGAGTCGGAACAGGCCAGTTTGGGAACGCGAAACGCGAAATTGAATTCCATTCCCGTACTATCGGAAGTAATTTGATCCGAAGTGCCTAGGAAGTCGCCTGGCATTTTCCCTTCCTGCACTTTCTATCAGAACTTTGTGCGCAACAATGCGCACAATAGAAACTACACAGCCGCTGACGTTCTGCTTTTCGATTCGATTTTCAGAAACAACGAACGAAAATCGAGGCACGATCCCCAGTGGGAGTCACTTTCATCCGCCGCAAATTCGAGGAATTCCCGTACGTTCGACGATCATCGCCATCATGCACGCGCAGATGCATCGAAGATTCACGGGTAAGTGTTTGAATAATTTTGCCGCACGGCGATGAGCGCGAACAGCGAGCGATTACGCGAACTTCAATCAGCGTTAACGCTATGATGCTGTGATCGGCATTATACGACCACACGGCACTTTCACTCGAATTCTCGGCTTTTTTCGCGGCTGGTTTCTGTGTACGATACGGGAAAGAGAAAGAGAAAGAGAGAAAGAGAAAGAGAGAGAGAGAGAGAGAGACTGGTCGAGTATCGTTGCGTTAAAACACTCGGGCACCGATACGTTTCCACGGGGCAAAACAGTTAAGGAGGCCGCGGCAAAAACGCAGCGGCGTTGGCAGCCATTGAAAAAGAGGGAGGGAGGGAGGGGGGGGGCAGGATCGAGCGAAGCGATCGAGCAGCTGCCAGGAATTCGGATCCCGATCGTCCGAAGGGCCCGCGTAAACGCGCATCAGGGACTCATTCCCTCGTCCGAGATTCGTCTGGAACGCAGAAAGAGGGGTGGGTAAGTAGGGTGAGAACGATGATCGCGGAGGGGATGGGTGGCCGTGTGGAACAGCAGTCTGGCCAGTTGATTACGATGCCGAAACGAGTGGCGGGCCATCTCTCCAACCAGTTTCGGACAGTGTCTTCGGGTTGAACGAGGCAGCCAGGGCCCTGTGTAGTTCGGTGGAGAGACGTCAAGCTCTTCTCCTTTGGCCAGTTGGTTGTGTTCTTCGTCCGACGAGGATCGACAGAATCACGGTGGTATGGGGTGGAGCGGGGAGGGGAGAGAGAAAGGTAAGAAAGGAGGAAAGAAGGAAAGAAAGCGTCGATGAAGAGGAGACTTGCTTGTTAGAGAGAAAGAGAGTGAGAGAAGCAAGGAACAGCAGTAGCAGCAAGCAGCAGCAAGCAGCACACAAGAGACGAAGGAGGCGACAGCCGAGCTTAAGTTTCGGTTTCGTTCGTTTCGCGCCTGCTCCGCGTTGAACGGGAGCCGAGAGAGTGAGTGCCGTGGAGAGAGAGAGAGAGAAAGAGAGAGCGAATCAGTATATGAGAAAGCGAGAAGATCGGAGCAAGAGAGGGAGAGAGAAAGAGAGAGGGAATGAGACGAAGCAAGTTGAAAGAAGGAGAAAGTCGGAAAGATAGGGAAAAAGGATAGGAAGGAGAGAGAGAGGGAAGAGCGACTGGCGGCGGTGGCGGCGGCGTCGGAGGCGGCGGAAGGGTGAAGAGAAGCCGAGTGTAACGCGCGAGTAAAAGACAGAACGCGGCAGCCAGGGGGTGGAGAGAGAGAGAGAGAGCCAGAGAGAGAGAGAGAGAGAGAGAGAGAAAGAGAGAGAGAGGAGAGTGAGAGAGAGAGGTAGGGAGGCGGCAACCGAGGCGAACAGACTTCACCGGCGCTCTGCTCCCAATAACGACTCTCGCCCTCGGTCAGTCGCGCGCGAACCGCGGAGCCGCGAGCATCTCTCCGTTTTTCTCTCGTTCTGCTCTCGGGCAGGTTACCTGCGTTTCGAGCCAGCGCATGCACGTGCGAACCCGGGGGGACGCGAGAGCACAAGGGAGCGAGAGGGCAAAGTGGAACGAATGTACACACAAGAGGTTGACCCGCGTCCGGTCACCGATCGAAACTAAACGAACCGCGCCGCTCGAGGATTCACGATCGAAATAACCCGAGACACCGAGGCGACAGGTGAATCGGTTCGAGTCGAGCCTCGATCGCTATTGTCCGTGCGTTCGTCCGCTGTTCAGAGAGACATGTCGGTACTCACGGGGAATCGGAGTTAGCAGGCAAAAGACATTCTCACAGTAAGCGAAGACGGAAACACAGCGAAAGGACGGAAGATGAAAGAGTCTGTTTGCGAGTGTTCGGCCAGCTAGGACACTCTGGCAGGCTTCACTAAGATTCTCGAGGGAGGATCGGTGGTGGATTGATGACCCCGGTCGAATCGGGCAAATTGGGGACAAGGTGAGAAAAGGGACAGAGTCAGAGACCACGAGGGCTAGACTTAGAGGGGAGGAGAAACGAGTCCGCATTCGGGGTTATCTGACGGTGGAATAGCCGCGATATCGACGTGGTAATCGCGTCGCGAGTGGTGTTGGCTGCATCCGGAGATACACGCAGCTGGTGACCGAGTGAGAGAAGAGCGGAAAGCGGTCGCACAAAGTGACAAGCGGCGAGCGCATGGTATATAAAAGTGCGAATTGGTGAAGAGCGCGCGCGCGCGCACGCACGCGAGACCGAGCGAGTTACCGGGCGGTTCGAGGCTGCGAGTGGCGCGCGGACCAAGAAGAAGAAGAAGAAGAAGAGGAGGAGGAGGAGGAGGAGGAGGAGGAGGAGGAGGAGGAGAAGGAAAAGGAGAAGGAGAAGAAGAAGAGGGAGAGAGGTGGCCAGGGAGAGGAGCACACACCATAGAGGACAACGCTGTTGCTATTTTCGAGACCGCCAAATATCTCGGTGCTGCTCTCGGTGCTGCTGCTGTCTGCGTTGGCCCTGCCACGTTCTTTCTTCGGCTCCGTTCACGTTCCTCCAAAGCGCAGCGATTCTGCGCCGATGACGCATGGCCCTGACCAAACAGGGGGACAGAGAGAGAGAAAGAGAGCGAAAGAGCGTGAAAGAGAGGAGGCCGCACGAGAAGAGCGAGAGACGGAGCGAGAGAGCGGCGCGTATGACAGGTACGTTTCGACTTTTTACCTTTTTGCAAAAGCTCGCCGCGATCTCTTGACCTACGACGTATCTGTGCCGTGACCGTGAACGCTGACACACGTCTCTACGTGGACGCGTAAGTTTACTCGTGGCCGTTCCGCTGGCACACGTCGTCCCTTTGCGATAAACGCTGCGTTGCTTCGTACCCCCTCCACTCTGCCATTAGGGGTGCCATTAGGGCTTAGATTTCACGGGACAGGGACCATCTGTTAGCTGCTCTCGGATAATTATCGTATCTGGTAGACTTTCCAGAATTTCCCAGTTACAACAGGTTCGCCTTTACCCCGAGACAATTGCGTCTATTTTGGAGTCGATCAAGTGTTTCTCAGAATGGCAACGTGTTTGATCAAGTGTTTCTCGTTTTTCTGTGTTTCTCTCTCTTTTTCTCGTCTTCGTTCCGAAGAACTGAAGATTGCTCGGTGAGGGATATGGGATTCGTGCAATAAAAAGATCGAGACGGGGCGTACACGTGCCAGAGTGAGGAGATAAATATTGGCGTCCGTGAGCTAGTTTGCGCAGCGTTCGCGTTGTTTTCAAAAACACGTTGTTGCAAAAGACACGTTCGAACATGTTTTCCTATCCTGCAACAAACGTTCGGTTTTGCCGATGTTTTATTTGCCTGGCAAATCACGACACGAGATTCACCGTTTCGCAAAAACGCGAAGATTTCCTCACGGTTTTTTCTTCGTTCCGCCGGGGGAAATCACGATTACGACACCCCTCCCGGTGCATTATCTCAAAAGTAACTTTTGTTCACCTTCGATTTCTTCGCAGTCCGCTATTGCTAATAACGCCTCGCGAAAACGGCGAGAATCCTTGACAAAATGGATATACCGAAGAAAACGCGGTCGAAATTTATTTCGAAACTCGGTCACCGACGTTCTCGCCGATCGATAAGACGTTTCAACTTGCAATGCTTGGAATTTTCTTACGCGTTCGCACGTAAAAAGAAAAAAGCAAAAAAAAAAAAAAAAAAAAATAAACGAGCTACGTCTGATTTCGAAGCGATCGGCAACTTTCGATCACTCTGAGCAATTCGCGCGGAGAACGTTCGTACACGAACGGCTCGAAATTCGTCGAACACGCGTTGGACTCGTTGGACGATCGAGTTGATTTCTCTCGATTTGACCGCCTTCTCTCTCTCTCTCTCTTTCTCTCTCTCCACTTTTTCGATAAAGCGTAAAGTTATAAAGGAGCTGGGGAGACGAGAGCGGGATGAAATGCGAGATTACGCGCGCGGTAAAAAGCTTTGAGATGGCGGCCAAAGGGAACCCAGAGGGATTCGAGCGCAAAGATGACGTTCTTTTACGGAGGGAAAAAGGCTGGACTCGTTCGACGCGATACGACGGAGATTAGTCTGCTTCTCCACTCACAGGCCGGGCTCGTCGTAATATTTATGTAATACGTGACATGCAAATGAACACATTGTTTGCGTGCTTGTCAGTGATAAGATACAAAGCGAGGTTTCCTTTAGTTTCTACATTATTTTGGTAACGTGCATTTTTAAATGTTTTCAACACGGTCTGCCGCAGCGAGCGAGTAATTTGTTTGCCCTACAATTGCAAACAAATTATGGTTAATTAAAGAGGCCTCGACCTAACAGAAAAAAACTTTAAAAGTCGAGGCCTCAACTCGAAAGTAGCTTGAAGTTTTTGAACTTCGATTTCAGCTACGGTTTCTCTCGAATTTTCGTTCAAGTGAAAGTTGTTTAATGTCTTTCATTAGATACGACGAGCAGTTGACGATCATCTGACCCTTAAACGCATAAATACAATTTATCGCGTGTACTTGTATTATCTCTCTTACGTGCAAAACTGATTGAATTATAAAAATAAAAATTATATACGAAACGTTGAGAGAGAAAGTGGATTAGGTCATTTCTTTTCTTTCTAGTATAAGTTTAAAGTACCGATTTATTCGAACGAAAGTGAAGGGATTCATTTTTTCCAAGACAAACTGAAACAACAGAACAAAATGAGTTCTTTCGTTGAATATTTTACGTTTGCATGTGTGTTTCGAACAGTTTTATGTTTGCGTATTTTTATCTTCATATTTTAAACGACACACATTTCACATTTTATACGGCAAATGTACGCACGTTTCATATTTTACTCAGTTTAGTTCGCCGTTCGCCGAAAGTTCCACTTTTGCTTTCAGTGCCCACAAAAGTCCAACCACGTGTGTGTGTAGTTAGGATCAGTTGAAAATCATTTTTCCATCCTTTCACGTTAATCGAGAAATTAATCAAATTTCGAAAAAGTTCGAAAATTAATCAAATTTCAAACTCTATTGTATTTGGGGAAAAAAAGTCGTACGTCCGAGCGTTAGGTATTCGTCAGCAGAAATTAAGCAAGACAAACCCCGCGAGAAAGAAGAGGGTCCTCCATGAAACAGATCACGCTTCTCATCAATGATGCATCCCGTGCAACAGGTGAGAAAGTGCATGCGTGAAATTTGCCACCGTCTACCGCCAGTCTTTCCACTTTCGCGTGCTAGCGTATCTGAGTCACGTTCTTCGCTGCGAGTTGCTCTTCGTGGTTTGTCGCCACTACGTTCGCTGTCAACCGGCGGCAGAAGATCGAGTACCGTTAGCTATCTGTTACATTCATCGCGTGAATCTGAAATTCGCGATGAGTCGATGGATAGTCGTTCGTTTCCCTTCGTTCGTACGTTCGTCGTCGTGCGATTATCAATCATCGGGTGGATAATCGGGCGAAAATGAAAAAATTACGCTCTCCTTGCAATCTCGGACGATCGTACGCGCGTACAACAGTGTTTAGAAAGGACGGGATTATACCGTGCCCGCAGGTATAACGGAGGAAAGGGAAATCCAACTTTCTGGTATTTTCCTTCTTCCATTAGGGTTTGTTGTTTCTTCAGTCAAGTCCCTCGTCACTCTCTCGCTCGACGATTCTACGATCTTTTCCTCCTTCGAGAAGTTGTTTTCTTTCTCCTTTGAAAATCTTTTATTTTTTTTTCTGTCTGTCTGTCTGTCTGTCTCTCTCTCTCTCTCTCTCTCTCCTTTCGTTTTCTGGCAGATAACAGGTCCAATCGACGCGTCAAACTGTCTTCATTTATACGTGGAAACACTTTTTCTTTTTTTACCAATTGGTTGATCCGGGCGGCGCGTTTTTGTCGTAGGCGCGTACCAGAGGAAAAGCGATTACGGAGTTACAAAAATCGAGAAGCAGAGTTGCGCAGAATGTGTGTGTGTGTGTATGTATGTGTATGTGTTTCATAAGTTTCGCAGCTGGGAAACCGGAGATGAGTCTGGCCGATTCCACGCGATCATTGATCGTTAACTTTTTTTGACTGTCGATGATCAAAGCTGAACGACGCGGTGGCCGCACGTAAATCGACTTTAAATCGCAATAAACCGCGCAAAAACTGCGCGGCGGATTTGCCTCGCGCGCGTTCACTTTCGACCGTAAAAAAACCAGAAAAACCGATCCTCCCTGTCCCACTTTGGCAAGCCTTCCGCGTACGCTCCGTCCTTTTCTCTTTTACTTTTGTTTCTCTGCGTCCCCTTCTCCCTCCCCTCCTTGTTTATTTATTTACGAATTCCTTTACTTTCCATTGCAACAGTGCAACGTGTTGCAAGTTGCAGTTGCGAGCTCGTGTCTCGTGTGTCACGTGTACCAACGGTGTTCTGACAGTTGCGTATTTCCCTTGATCTTGAAACGCAAGGATGCTCCTGCAAAGGTCTGTAGAACAAATCTGTTTCTCCGTCACCGCGTGTACACTAGTTAGTCGAGACGGTAGAAAAAGTCACGTTTTTACGTGCAAGACAAATGTCTCGATCGTTTCGAATCCGCCGAAAAGACCGCGAGGTTCAGGTCTTGGCTCTTTTCCTTTTGATATGTTTCGAGTCACGATTTCGATAACAGCTACGATACGATGTAAATTCACTCGAAAGATGAAATGCATGGAGAATTTCAGATATTTTAACGTTTCTGAGATCATTTCATGTTTTAAACAATGAAAGAGTACTGATTGTATGAATGGTTCTTTTAACATTGGAACCATCGATGAAGTATGAAAATTGTATCCAGGGAATAGAGAAAAAGTCGATAACGAACGCAAGCGTTTGGATTAAATGACGAAATGTTGTATCTCTCGAATTTTTGTATTCATTTATTGGTATTTAAAGTTCGATGAAACGTTGAGAAAGAATCGCAAAGCAAATTTCAAGGGGTTGTTGTAAAGAGATTTTCAATTTTCAAGATCACTGCCAATTTTCATGAATTCTATCAATTTTAAAGCGTGTGCCAAAATTTTAATAAAGGGGTTCTTAGCTGAGAGTTATGTGGCACTTTTGTCCTACGTTTTGAGTTGAAAACAAGAGTGAATCTTGATTGACAAATTAATCGGGGGTGTAGTGAAAATTCGTGTAACATTTTGTAACAAATTCAGAAGAATGGAACGTATCTTTGTTGCAAAGAAATGATGGAAAAATAGTAATTAATAGCAAAACTTAATACATGTATGTACGTTTCTTTCAGTAGTAAATTAATTCTAAAGTAATCTCTTTTTTTTATTAACATAAAACAAAATGTACACGTATTCTTGAAACTTACTATTTCTACACAATAAATCTTCGTCTTTTCTATTTTTTGGACTTAGACCGCTGCTCGTCGATTAA